GGATTGTCTGACATTCTCTGCGAAGAAAGACCTGTGCAGGATTTGATGCTTGAGCTCTGCTTTAACATTCATGTGCTGAAGTGCTTACCTTTATAGAGCATTTGCAGCCAGGTATTACAAGCACAGTGCCAACCTGCTGACTGTTCTGCTGAAATTATTCTTTCGCACATTCAGGAGAAGAAATTGTCAAATTCTACTTATTTGGATCCTATCAGAGATCACCTGTCAGCTGAACAGTACAACCAGTACAGATTTTCTGTTGAGCTAGAGCTTTTGTGGATATCTTTTTTTTTTTTTTTAACCAGTGTTGCTTCTGTCTGATCCAAGCAGCCCTTGGTTTGTCATGAACCAGACGTAGATGAAGTAGAGAATGGTGGCGGAACCATTGATTCCATTGGCTCACTGCTCGTTTACTTAATGCGGCTTCATGTTGTGTTTAATTACATTTAGGACCCATGCGGGAGCGGCACTGGTGCCAAGTTGGTTTCTGAGCCAGTGCAGCCACAGAAGAGACGTCTCTCTCCTGGCTTGCATATTTCAAACGGCATTACACAGCTAAATGTCCTCCGAGTGACTGTGTATCTGCTCCAACTCCTTGAATGCAATTAAGCTCTTAATTTATTAGACAGCTTTGGAATGATGCCCTGATTAAAGAGGCCATACATTAACAGTCATTCAGTAGAAGTACATTAATGAATACAGTGAGTACTTTATAGGTGAACTTCCTCTCTTCCCCATTTGTGCCTCATTCCTGCATCTCATCTTTCTCTTTTTACCTGGCTCCCCCCGGAGGCTGAGCAGCGCCACTGCAGACTCTGCCAATAGTACCTGCGTAGCTGTAGTCACTGCATTGTGATCAGGACTGTTGAAGGCAGTTTGTCTGCTCCGGGGGTAAGAGCTGCTTGTTAGTAGTATTTGGGAAGCCTGGTGCGCTAGGGGACAAGAGAGGTCTGCAGAGCAGGTGGAGAAAAAGAGGCGAGAGCTACTTCATGTGGTACCAATAAGGATAAGATCACCAGAGATACTGGACTTCTGCTGATTGATGCTGGCTGCCGAAAGAGAGAAAGAGGAAGGAGGGTGGCCAGGAGGAGGGGGAATAATTGTGTGTGTTTACTTGCATATGAGAAGCTGGGGCATTTGGAAATTGTATTGTATGCATGCGTGTGTTGTCTCACCCAGCATGTGTGTCAGTCTATGATGTCAGTAGTCTCAGTCAGCACCACTGAAGGTGGCGTTACTGCTGATGTTTTGCCTCTGTCGTAGTGCCAGCTGCTGCTTCCCAAAGCAATTGGGACTCAGCGAGGAGGGGTTAACGAGTACAGGAGGCTGACAGACTCAAATGGGAGTGAGCCGGTGCTCACGCAGTGACAGGAGGCAAGCTTCTTGAGAAATGTTTCTTTGATGTGTGCGCTTTGTCAGAAGCTCAGAGAGCAGAGAAGAGATAGTAAGACCAGATGGTTGAGGAAACAGGTGAGGAGAGCTCCCAGGTCAATGTTGGAGTCAGGACTAGAGTTAGATTTCCAAACATCGGCTTGTTTCATTCTTACCTTTTTCTTTCTAACTGAAGTTGGAGTGAGAAACGGAGAGTCTTTATTTCTTTTAGTCTCTCTTCATGTTTGCCATGCTGTGCCTGAGCTCTACTGAAGTTTATTTTTTTCCCCTCTTTGAAGCCGATCAGCTGACTGCAGATATCCCAAAATGCCCAGACACAGATCTGGAACAACATAAGACGGTTTTTCCTACAGCAAAAGGCGTTACAGCAATGTCTCCGTGTGTCATATAGTTTCATAGCTTGGTGGCATTGTGGACAAAAGCAAAGTGGGTTTTCCAGTGTGGTGGTGTATGCTTTCCCAACATATTTTAGTTTGAATGTGAATCTTTAAGCAAACACTGTTCAAAAGTGGGATGGTTAGTAGTACAAAACAAACATTCGAGGTGACTCAGCATTTTTGAGTAAGCTGTCACAAACTTGCTTACATTGTACAACTCACATTTCCTCCACAGGAAAAGTGAATATCTTAGTCCACTTATGCAATAAAGTAAAAGCAAGGTAAAGTTTGTGGTAAGTTTTACTAAAACTGTCGCACAAGTCGATCTGTTTGTACAAGTTTTTGCAAAATTCCCCCAACCCACACAAAATGTGTAAACTAACCTGTTTATTTTGTGTTTGGAAGCCATTTCAATCAATTCAGAAATTGTTTGCATGTTCATTCAAGTTATTGTAACAGCGTCGCCTTGGTCCCCGATTTGATATTTCATCTGCCTCGTTTGGTCTGTCGAGCATTCTTGGAATCTCATTCAATGAAACATTACAATTATCAGTCTGCAAGATGAACTGCCACATCATGGCAAACAAAGTTAAAAATTCAGAAAGTAAACATGTTGATAATGCACACCTCTGAAGATGTTGTTTACATTAGAGTCATACCCCTCAAGGAGCTGCAGCAGATGCAGAAGCAGCTGGCTATTTTAGCCTTAATTTCACCCAATTTATTGAATCTGCTGAGTATCACACCTTCCTCAAGGGATTACTCCCTCCAAGTTCATCCACCTGTTTTATATTTGCAAAAACAAAAGTTCTTTGGGCTTCCCTGAGGTGTCAATACACTGAAAGCAGACTAATTCTGATTCATATGAAGCATTTAACCTTAACACTGCTCTACCAAAGAGTGCTGCCTGAGAGAGTCTGACCTCTGTTAGATTAATAGATGAAACTTGCATCTTGACTCTCTGGTTATGCCTTCTTCTTCTGCAATGGTCCAATGGCATCTAACTGGAGAATTATTGCCACCAGCTGTTAAATTTGACAAACTGACCAGTTCAATGAGTAGAAGTGAATAATTTGCCATTTTTTTCTTGATTTTTTTTTTTTTTTGAATTGTCTACCCAAGTGTGTCTTATGGAAACTTGACCACTGCTCACATGAGTGTGTCTGGTTGCATTCCCCCGCAGAGGCCTTAAACATCTCTTTCCTTATCCTTAAAAGGGAACAGGAACAGAAGACGGTGGCTGCTAAATATGATACAAATCAAACCCCCGTTCCTTCATCTTTGGTCTTCAGTTTTGAGCTTGTGTCGACTAGATGACCTTAGCAGTTGAGCAGATTTTGCAAAAGCCTTATTGAAATTTCCTGCAGCCTGCTGTGATTGTAGCTGCCACACACTCTTTATTCCTTTTTTTCACACACTTCGCCGCCCCCACCCCGTCTCTCTTTCCTGTTTGTTTACTTGCCCCCCGATGGGACGCGGTTTGCATTTACAGTGTGTTTTTCAGTGCGTCTACGCAAGTCTCCTCATTTGCGAGCGTGCGCCTCTTTTTTGCGACCAGGTCTTAACGGATGTCTGTTTTCCAGCATTCATATTGAAACGGGAGTTTCCCCGATGACGGCTCTCATTTTTTCTGGGTTACACTTTACGACTTCTCATCATGGACAAAGTTGCTGAAGGAAACCACAACAGATACAAATGTATGAGAGGCGGCAACTTTAAAGGAGCAAACTTCCCGCTTCCAAGAAAAAGAAAAGAGCGGGGGAGAAATGCTTTTAATTGGGAGCAGCGTGTGAGGTAAATGAGGGGATGTGAGGATTACTTCAACATGGGAAATGGTTGGCTTTTATGGAAATTTCTTAGGAAATGTCTCAAATTTGAGCTGCTGTGTAGCTTCATGTAGACTTGTTATTCATGATTAAATCTCAAAGTTCAACTCAAGAGAATCTGATCCTTTTTTAAGTTGTAGATTCCTACCCTAATGGATGATCTTACATTTTTGAGGGGATTTTCCCTTCACAAAGTCATTCTTGCTGTTTAGGTCTGTGTTGGACTTTTTTTTTTTTTTCAACTGGGATTACAAGAACAGCTTTAGCAAGCAGCGCTGTAGCAGTTGGTGTCTTTATATGGGCTGCTGCTGCATCTCCATTCGAGCCTTTGAGGACAAAAGACTTCATCTATGGCTGTCTATTAAAATCTGCATCAAATGCACCCACATCACAGTGGGAAGAGCTGGTACTGCTGCCTGACTCTTAGTCAGAGAAGTCTGGAAGGAAATCTTGAAGATTGAAGGGCAAGGGTAAAGTTTGCAAGCTAGAGGGAAACCCTGCATAGCCACTGATTCTTCTGTATAGTGCATGGGGCCAAGCACTTGGAGGCCAAATGTGATTCACATCTTTCATCTCTGGAGCCTGGTGAATGTGCAACAGCTGTCAAGACTTATCTGCATCTCAACAGACAAAGCTTCACTTATCAGTCAGCTTATGGGCTTTAATGAAAGATAAAGATTCTGTTAAGAGTTTTAGGCAACAATGCAAAGGATTGTATGACTTGCTGCCCTTCCAGGTTTGAAAGATTCAGTTAGGAAGTGAATTCACCTGTTCCTGCAAACATCTGGATCTGTGTTTTACACATCAAGGAAGACTTTTCAAATCTGTTCTGAGTTGTTTCAAATTTGTTTAGCAGTGTTCTAGTTTTCTGGGTGTTCATTAAATATTCTGTATAGAAACACAGAGTAGTTGTGCAGTCTGTCATTTTAAAATCAAATGCCAGCATCAGATAGAGAACTAGTATTAAGGATGAAGTGTGTGTTTGTGTGTTTGTGTGTTCGTGTCTGGGCCCGAATGTCAAACCTTGATGAAATATTTGTGCCTGAGCAGCAAAGATGTGCAAGGAATCCGAGTGTTTGAACATTATTCCCTGGCAGGCATTTACCACTTTTCTTGTAAAGTGTGAGGAGCAGAGCAGAACGCTGTTATAGGATGGATGGCGGGGAGGGGATCTCAGCACTGGTTTTGTGATTGAAGGCTATCACAGTCAGCAAGGTTCAAGTAGCCTTTAGAGCAAAGCCACAAAACTCAGCATCCCTTCCTTTCTGCCATTCAGTGTACAGTCTTTCTTAACTTTTCGACATCCCGTAACTAATGTTATGATTTGTTGGGATCCTGTGTGGTGTAACTAATGGGTCTAAAACAATACACACAAACTGACAGAGTGTTTGTTCTGTTGTTACAGATCTACACAGACTGGGCCAATCACTACCTGGCCAAGTCTGGCTGTCCGCGTCTCATCAAGGACCTGAGCCAGGATGTCACCGATGGAGTCCTGCTGGCACAGATCATCCAGATCATAGGTGAGCATCTGTGTGTGTTCTCTTTCAGTGTTTTAACTTAATCCACTTTTGTGCAGATCACAGTTAAAAAGGTAAAGTAGATACAGTCATGAAGAGACAGAAACACTGACTTCTCTCATACAAACAGTGTACAGTCTTGCTTTGAGTCTAACTTTCAATATTTAAAAAAAGAATATTAATGAAGTACAGATGGATGAAGCCCATGTATTACCAACAGAGTGTGTGTGTGTCTATAGTTTGCTCTGTTTGGTGGATGAATCGACCACCCACTCACTCACACAAACACACAGACACAGTATTTGAGCTTTGTTGTGGTGAGTTGGAGCGAAGCCGTTTCTCAGTCTGAAATTTGGGCCAAATCACAGCAGCTCTTTCTTGTTTTGGGTGCTGGGCAAACTATAAGAGCACAGATCTATAACTCACCCATGGGTGCAGAGGCATGTGTCTCCCATTGGAGTACAGAGAGTCTTTACTTCTCTCTCCCTTTCTGTTGGTCTCTTTTTTTCGTGCCTCATGTCTCTCTGGCTTGTTGCACCCTGCTTCTCTCCATCCTTGATTCCCTCACTCTGTTTTTTTCTCCTTCTGTTCCTGTTTTCATTTGACGACACCTTACTGTGTAACATGTGTGAGAGATTAGGATTAAATAGATGGAATAAAACTGCAGCTGCTGATATCGGTCATGATTTTTGCAGTCTCAGCAGAAATTGCACAGAGAAGGATTGACTGAAGACTGGCCAGTGATGTTGTTGCAGTGGGAGGCAAACAGTTTCCTGACACAAATAAATAGACCTCCTATAAATTTTGGGATAAGTGGATAAATTGGGTGGATCAGGTCAACTGACTGTTTCTATTTGGTTTTGTACTAACTTCAATTTCAGTTAAAATACAATTGTTATGAAGACTCAGAGTAAACCTCCTCCTCTAAGACCAAAATCCTTCCAGTAGTTTGAATAAAAGGTGATCCCAATCTAACATTACAGGGGTTCCTCCTTTGCCTGTTTTCCACCTTTGCACCAGGTTTCTTATTTTTTAAATTTAGATTTTTTTTCTTTTAATTAAATGTCAAAATACAAAAAAAGACACAAGAAAAAGTCAGACAAAGACATGGAGTGAGTATGTGGATCAGACACATCAAATGATTCTTTTCCTTTGTCTTTGGATAACAAATCATAAAAACAGTCCAGTTGCTTTTTTGGCATCTTACGTTTACAATTAACTCTACAAAAGCTTCTCAAAAGCTGTCCATCATTTGTTCAGTGAGTTTTTAAGATTTGGAAATAATCTCAGAGTCTGGCACAAGTTACAAAACACACCATTGATGCTCTCACAACAAACCTATTCAGCTGCAGTAAGGCACCCCAGAGCCTTGCTGACATTGGTGGTCCATACAATCCCAAACATCTTCTCCAAAAAGGAAATACTTTGCAGCATTCCCAAAATGCATGCACATAAGTGCCTCTTTCAGTCCTTCATTTCCAGCATAAACCATCTTTAATCAAAACCATTTTATGTAAGGGAACGAGGATAGTAATATCAACTATTTTGTATTAAATAAATTCGCCTTTGGCTTCCCTGGCAAATTTCCGGCTTTTGGAAATAATGTTCTCCGATGACTCATCATGGAACGTGAAGGTTTTTTTCCCCCCAGGTTATCCTAAGACTGCTGATGTTCCTGTTTGTCCAGGGACACCTTTCATACCATGAGGATGCTTTGTGGTATATTGTTGGAAGTTGTAAATGACACAGCATTGGGATAGTTCCTCGATGCAGCTGGATATTTCTTCTTATATAATCCCTTATTTGTTGGCGTTTCCAAAAATTACCAGATCCCACCAAATTCTGTTTTTCCTTGAGTGTAATAAATAAAATAAAATCACCTTCTTTGAAGAAACCATCAGTTTTGACACAATTTCTTAACCACTGAGCCCCACAAATAGTCTGTTTATACCAATTCTTATTTTGGTATTAAACCACATAGAGGAGAGATTCTACATTTTTATACAATACATTATATTTGTTCACATTGTCATAAAATTAGGTTTACTCCTTTATAAGTATAAACTCAAGCTATGAAGCAGGAGTAAAGGGAGAGGGAAGTTCTCTTTCAATCAAGATCCAGTTCAAACTGAATTTTTCCCAGTCCAGTGTTTGGCCAGCTCTGCCATTTCGATGACGTGCTGTAGGATCCTACACGTGTGGCAGTGATAGACGTGCTAATTTTGTCCAGAGTTTCCTCCATTCCAAAGAAACTGTTTGATCGTATTATTATATCCAAATAACAACTGCTGCAGAATACACAGTGGATCCATGCCAGTTGTATAATTTATCTGTGGGGCTATAATCATCTTTCCTGTTTACCTTCCCCACAGTGTGAGTTGTATCCTGCTCTGATTATCCAAATTAACTTTTGATTTTATCTAATAGAATTTCTAAATTAGTGGCAATGATCTCTGAAATATTGGGATTTAATTTGATTCCCATGCATTTCATTCCTTTAGACAGCCATTTGAACTTCAATGAGGGCAATAAATTAAGGAAGCAAGCTGAAGATGTTGGCATGGCTTCTTTGGCTTATGGCATTTAATTTTGCAACCAGATTATTTAAAAATCCACCTCCAATAATCCTAATAGAGAACAGGAGCATCATTGCACCAGGTTTCTTGACATTTGGCTTTGTGGTGTTTGCATAATCTTGCTGACAGACAGACAAAGAGCAGTAAAAACATACCACCGCCTCAGCTTTGACTTAGCAGAGCGAGAAGGGACCAAGTAACCAAGCTGTTTTCACACACATGTCAGGACATTTTTAAAGGATCATCTATCAAAGACGCTGACAAACAGTGCCATCCTGACGTTGTTCAGCTTATGCATTATTTTGGACGGCAGTAACACATGTAGTGTTGAATGAGCTGCTTATAAGCCTGTATTCGGTTAGACCCTGAACACAGGGTAGGACTTCAGCAGCCAAATGCAGTCCCTGCTGCCATGCTAGCTGCTGGTAGTAAATTCCTCCCAAACTGACAACTGGCTAAGCTGCCTGAAACCACACAGTAATAATGAGTAATTCATCACATTTTTCAAGTAAGTTACCCAGCAGTGGCTCTTATATAATAAAGTATTAGCATCTTTCAGACACTTTTCTCTCACACAGTCTTTTTCTTCTTCTGGCATCTGTCGTAGCTTGCTCTCTCCTTTTTTCTCCATCTTCATCAGTTTGGCAAAACTTTGTGTGGGACTCTCTCTCCTTTCTTTTAAACACACACACAGACACACACATGCACACACACTTTCTTGTCTATGTGCTTAGTTTCTTCCTTTCTGCAGTCTGTCTCACTAAATCTTCTCCTGTCTCACTTCCTTACTCTCACATTCACGCCAGCGTCTCTCCCTCTCTCCCCCTTTCTCCCACACACACACACACAGATTGAAACTTTACCCCTCCTGCAGACAATGAGGCCAAGCTGGCCTGTCAGTAACTCTCTGGCGGCAGCTGACGAATTAGGTAGCTTTGCTTCCCAGACCTCTCCGGAGTTGATCTGCACCTTAACTCGCGCATGTGCGCTCACGCACTCACTCATGCACTCTCCAGCGCTAATCTCAGAGTTTTCCTGCTGTATTTTTTACCTTGAACTCAAAAGTCCCTGGATGTCAGGATGTTAAATTTCAGTATGGGTCTACTGTAAAAATCTCATGTCTTCATTTCCTTTCTCATGCAGCGAATGAGAAGGTGGAGGATATCAATAGCAGCCCCAGGAGCCAGTCGCAAATGGTGAGTGCATTTTAGCCTAACTCTTATATTGTTTTAAAGCACTGTTGCATGAGAGCGGCTTGTTAATGAAGAGTATTTATCTGGTAAGACAGATTTGGCAGCATTTAGGAGATGCCCTCATCAACAGCGACTGACAGCATTATAAACCTGTGGATATAAATATATTAACAGAGACAGTGTTGTCATGAGCAGCTCTCACTTCTATTTGGATTTAAGTGATCAAGAGCTAAGATAAAGTAATGGTTTCATATATTATTTGAGTGAGAAAAAGTTACATTGTATAAAGTACTCACACTTGGTTTGAGTTTGCATTTAAAAATCAGCACAAAACCAACAGATTGCAGACTGACTAGTTAGCAGTAGTAGTAAAACTGATTCAACTAGTTCCCTTTATAATACGCTTTGCTGTTGGCAATTCTTTCACCACCTCTTGTATATGCAAAGTCTCACTTCTCCTGAACCCAGCCACAGATTTCTAGCAGTAAATAAGAGTCATATATGATCAGAGCCCCTCATGACTCTTGTTTTTCTGGTCAGAAAGATGGTGATGACCACTTTAACCGCAGTTGACCAACTGACCAAAAACAGTTTCATCTTGGACTTCTTTGCCATTTTGAAAAATCTGTATTTCTGGCTGCTCTGCGGCTGAGTGGTGTTGGCAGTGTCGTGTTTCCCCTCTGTTAATGAGATGACGGCTGCATAACCGCTGATTTTCGTCACTGTGAGATAATTACCCCTCACTTTAACCAGAGTTGACTAAGTGTTTATGTAGTGTTGGTTTGCCCTTGGCATCTGCCCTCCTGCCATTAAAAGTGACTAAAGCAGTTTTAGCTGCTCTGGCTTGCTTTCTTAATAAAACACTGGGGGCGACGAGTGTGTTTGGTCCCAACGGCGTGTGTCCTCTGTGTGTCAACCTTTGTCATAGGTGTACCACAGTGTCTCTTTGTGCTATTTTCTCATATGGATCAATTTTAACAGATGGACTTCCACACAAGGCAAGAACATTTATTTGATAAAATCACTGTTTCTTCCCAAAAGCATCCCATTACCAGAATGAACCGAAACATATTTCTACAACTTGTTTCACACAGCAGTTTTCAGCTGTTCCATGGTGAGTCCAGCTGTGGTGAAAGCAGACTGTGCACTATGTTGGAAAAACAAGTTTAAAGAACCAGGAAGGAAGAAAACGTTAGAGTCATCAAGACCTTGCAGACCCCTAATGTGTGTGAGAGTTCACTGTGTTAAAACCTGCAAAAATAAAACTCTTGCAAATGTATTTTTCTTGTCACATAAAATGATTCTAGTCCTGCCTGGAAACAGCTGAATCCAGACTCTTGCACTGGTCACTAAGGGCAAGCTTCTGCAGCAATGCAAGTATGTGTTTCGATACGCCAGCGTTCGCTCCGGGTGTTTGTGTGTGTTCGTGCAGTTTGCTCTTTGTCCCAGTCGCTTACTAAGCCCATTGATCCACCACCTGCTCTGACTGCAGAGGGTCTGGCCAGCTTGGGAAAAAGAAGTTTGAGGAAGCACAGTTGCTTATAGAGTGAGTGAGAAAGGAAGGAAATATCTGTCACGCACATACAAACAACTCTACAACGATGCAGCCAACTAGCAGTGTTTGAAGGTTTTTACAATGGCAGATACTGTAAAATAGCAGCTTGCTAATTAGGATATGTGAAATCATGTTAATCTTACATTTAAATTACGTGTTAAGCACAAAGCACTCTAAGCACCAATGTGTGTAAAGTGAAGCAGGAGTCTGTTAAGTTCACGCTAACCTTCATGGTCAGGTGGATGCAGCTTCTATGATTTTGTCTTTCTTTTCATGTACAGTTAAATTTTCAGGTCCCGTTTCAGATTGTAAAAGACTCAAAGTATTGTGAAACAACGCTAATAATCAGTTCTTACTTCATTAAAACTTTATGAAAAATAAAGTTAATTAAAGCTGCAAGCAGCGTTATGAGGGCCCTCGCACCCCCGGCGCGTCGAGCCATGCCCAACACCTAAAACCAGCACGTCCGATCTGATGTCACATTGATGGAATTCATGCATTTAACCACCAGCTAACATTTCATCTCATTCATTCATGATTAGTTAGTCGTCCCACTAGGTGGTGCTCTATTACTGACAAATGGCATAACAAACATTTCCGAGCTCGAGTCTCATCACGCCTATGACCTTTGGGAGAGATTGAACATTGTGTTTTTGATTGACAGCAGATTACTGCTTTTTGGCGAGTGATTGAAACCACGTGCCGCCATTACCACCCCGTTTCCCTGAACGCAAAAAGCTTCGCAATTTAACATCACAAAGGTCTTTAGATTCCACACACTGGAGATCGCATCAATCTGATGAAATCCCTTGGAGGAGTTCGTCAAAGAACGGTGCCTGAAAAGAGGGGAAATTGTTGCCAAAATTGCACATTAATTTTAAAATGGCTGACTTCCTGTTGGATTTGGGATATTGCTCCAAGAGACTTTTTTGTACATCTTAAGATCTTCCATTAGCTTACCAAGTTTCAGATTCATAGATAAAACACAGAGCAGGGGCTGTGGTTTTGAAATTTTGTAGGGGGCGCTGTGGAGCCATTTTGGGATATTCAATGAAAATGATCACATAACAAAAAAGCCCTCATCACATTGGAGGTATGCACCAAATTTCAAGACTTTTTAAACTTTCCAAGCCCCTGAAAACCCACTTCATTGTTCATGGTGAACAGCGTTGCCACCAGGGTGCGCCGTTCAGTTTAAAGTCACAATTTTCGCACTAAAGCATCATGAAGGACTGATGGTGATATTCACCGCTTTTGAGGTGGCCACGATGAACCTGTGAAAATCAGTACAACAAAATTAAAGCCATGACATTTCCTGTTGCCACTAGGTGGCGCTGTGCGTATTCCCGACAATGGGCACATCAATCCGTTCAGGGCGGGTCTGACATCATGCCTGTAAAGTCTGGTACTGATCAGACTGGATTTCATTGAGTTATACCAATTTGTTTCTTCATGGCGTGACATCAAAGTTCGCCATTCTGCTGGGGTCACACCCTTTCGCGAAAACTCACAGTTTTCACTGTAACCCAAGACCAACTTCTTAAGGCTTTCCTGGAGAAATTTGAGGCTGCAGATGTCACCCATCACAATACTGTACCCCAAAGTGTAAAACATGACATTTCCTGTTCCCACTAGGTGGCGCTGTCCCTGATGTCAAATATGGCAGTTGAAATATGTTCAGGGGTGGAGCCTTATCATATGTGTTCACTTTGGTCAAGGTCAGAAAATGTATGACAAAATGAGAGGCAATAAGATTTTCATGGCGAGACATCGAAATTCGCCATGGCGCCACGGCCTCACCATATTGTGAAAACTCAAAAGCTCCGCAATTTAACATGGCCCAGGTGTGTAGTTGACACTGACCAAAGATGAAGCTTATACGACCAAATCCCAAGGAGGAGTTCGAAAAAGTTCGAGGCATGGAACTGGCAAAATTAGAGCCAAAATGTCACCTTCACGTCCAAATGGCGGACTTCCTGTTGGGTTTGCGTCAATGGGCCCACAGACTTTTGTTCGTCTTGGCATGATACACATGTGTGCCAAATTTCATACATGTAGCTCAAACGATGTGGTCGTAGGGCTGCATTTAACAAGGCATAGGTGGCGCTGTAGAGCCATTTCCCAGTGCTCATATGTAAAACCATTAAAATACACAATTTTTCACCAGACCTGGCATGTGTGCAAAATTTCATGAGTTTTTGACCATGTTTAGGCCCTCGGAAAGGCCGTTGTTTTGCCTGAATAATAATAATAAGAAGAAACGGAGCAGATACAATAGGGCCTTCGCACTCTCGGTGCTCGGGCCCTAAAAACAGAAGTCACAGTCTAATGTGTGTGTTCACGTAGCAGTGATCAAGTCCAGGTTTGCCCATTGGCTGCTTTATGTTTTGTCTGTATGAACATGATCCCAGATTGCAAACTGCTTTTGCCTTGGCTTCACCAAATGAACTGTATTACCCTAAGAGATAAATGTGATAACACTTGAACATATGGTGGCTTTCCGAGAGCAAAACAATGTTGTTTGGGTTGCCTATCCTGCGAGCTCGACCACTAACATTAATTTGAAACATAAGTTACTCACTGACAACTTTTCCCCATATCAAGCTATTTTTTTCCTCACTCTTGGCTGTGTATTTATGACATGAGCTGTGAATTTTGGAAATCTGCCACTGGCCACCTTACACCTGGAGCTTAAACGCCTTGGCCAGAGACATGACAGTAGCAACAGCTGTCAGTGGAGGGACAGATGAGTCTGATTTACTTCCTCTGCACAGCTTTTCCCCCTCATTTGGGACTTTAGGCGGTGATCCTGGAGTCACAAGCCTGTTTCTCTAACTGGTAGGTCGCTGGCGCTCTGTCGAGTGGAGCGAGGCCAACTGAGCAGCTGCTGGAAGATGATGAACAGAAACCAGCACGACATCAGCATCTGCAAGCTCGTCTGCTAATCTACATACATAATGCGCTCTTTTTTTCCCCTCTAAATCCTTGTTCACAATACAAAAAGGGCCACAGGTCAGTTGAAATCCAGTCACTTCCAGCAGTTTTTTGTTTTGTTACAAACAAAAAATGTTGTTGATATTTATTTGGTCTTTGAAGTGAATTGTGTAAAATGTGCGTTTCATAGTTATCTTCTACAAACAGTCAGTACAGTCCAGTCATTTTCCCCCTTCTCATGTTATTTCATGCAAGCATGCTTTATCATACAAGTGAAGGGTAAAATTTAAAGTATATTCCATTGAGTATAGATTTCACAGTCTTTGCGTTTCGTGTTGACCTCTCACACTTAGCTAGCCAGCACACTGTGGAAGTCCCTTTCCATCGCCCCTGAGTTCTTGGCCCTTATAATTACAAGACTAAAGGGTATTACCTTTGACTGCTCATGGGCTTGTGGGATAATATGCTGAAGAACAGTGGAAGTATGAATTATTAGAAACTCTTTTCAAGTTCT